TATTCAAATGATTCTTAATTTTTGATCTTATACACAGGAAAAACAATTTTAAACGAAAATGAATCAAACTGGGGTGCCCAGGTGGCTCAGTCAGTTAAGCATCTGCCTTCGGCTCAGGTCATGATCCCGGGGTCCTGGGAGCCCCGCATTGGGCTCCTTGCTCTGCAGGGAGCCTGCTTCGCCCTCTCCCTCTGCCTGCTGCTCCCCCTGCTTGTGCGTGCGCTCTCTCTGTCACATAAATAAATAAAATCTTTAAAAAAATAAAAAGAAAATGAATCAGGGCAACCCTCTCAGGTCCCCTTCCTCTTTTCGGGAGCTTTGTACTATCACTTTACTATCGCTCAATAAACTTTGATTTGCTGCCCACCAAAAAAAAAAAAAACAATCAAACTATCCTTAGTACCAGAGATTCCATATCAATCTTTTCCTTTTCAAAAGTGCTAACATATTCAGAGAGGCTAAGTGCTTCCAGAGTTTCCTGCAAACTTAGGACTTCTTCATTTTCAATGTCAAGGTCACAAGACTCATCCAAAGTCAACTTTGGCTCGTCAGGCATCTTAAGGAAAAAGAAAAGAAAGTCAGGGGAACACTGCAAACCTCAGAAAAACTACCATAAAATGTCTCCTGATCTACAGCAAATCTTAAACAATTTTGTTCCATACAGAAATCATAACTTTAGGTAGCTTATCATCCAAAATCTGAATATTCTAAAAAAGTATATCAATTGAATAATAAATCACTCTTGCTCCCATTTCCTACAATAATTTACTTAGCATTTTTTTAAATAATAAACTTTCTCTCACATTTAAATTTATAATCCATAAGGAAGACAAGTGAGAAACTCAAAGAAGTTAAATGATTCTATCACACATATAAACCTCAGGGTACTTTGATTTATAAAAACATTTCAGGGGCGCCTGGCAGACTCAGTCAGAAGGGCATAGGACTCTTGATCTCAGGGTTACAAGTTCGAGCCCCACATTGGGTGTAGAGATTACTTATATAAACTTAAAAAAAAACATTCAGGAAACAGTTCAGACTTTAGAAAACCGTTTGACTTCATCTCTAATCTAAATATGTAACCAGGCCATACCTGCTTTTCCTGAAAACGTGGCTGCTTCACAACTCCATTAGCAACAGCAAAAGCCCCAGGAGACTTTGACAAATTCAAATCCTTTTGATTAGACAGGATGTCAAACAATATTAAAGAACCTAAAAAAAAAATCATATTTTGTTTTATAAATGACTAATACTTTTATAACACCAAGTAAATTCTCCTACTTTTTTCCCCAAAGTCCCTAGGCAGAAGTCATACAAAAGTTAAATGTCAATCAAGATCTGATCATCAATATTCTTGTTTTACCAAAACAGCAGAATAAATTAAAATATAAAGCATTCCTAGGTAATTGAAAAGCAAAGGCAGAACCTAAACGCATTATGTCTACCCTTTATAAAACTTAAAATCCATAATTCTAAATCTTGTACTAACAATGTCACCCTCACTAAAAGCAGCGATTACTCAAAAAAATTATGTTTAAAATGTGGATATTTGGGCGCCTGGGTGGCTCAGTCGTTAAGCGTCCGCCTTCAGCTCAGGTCATGATCTCCAGGGTCCTGGGATTGAGCCCCACGTCGGGCTCCCTGCTCCGCGGGAAACCTGCTTCTCTCTCTCCCACTCCCCCTGCTTGTGTTCCCTCTCTCACTGTGTCTCTTTGTCAAATAAACAAAATCTTTAAAAAATAAAATAAAATAAAATAAAATGTGGATATTTGACAGTTTTACCTAAACTGTGACCAGCAACAGAGACTCCTCCTTTGAAGTCTGGATTCCGACTCATAAAAAGTGCATGAAGACGGTTTATCTCCATTCCCACTTTTTCCACGATTGTCTGACAGTAGGTGGGGCTATTGTAAAATAAAATATCTAGCAAGGTCTCATTGGTAAAATGACGAAACCGACCAATACTTGGTAAAGTGATTTTCTTAATATTCCTGTTTTGGAAAAAAAAAAGTATATTCAGACCTAGCCCCCTTACATCTACAGACTTTTTAAAAGTTTAGATAGTGACTTCTAAATATACAATGAGTATAGGAATCCCACAGACTAATTATGAGTTGATTCTGTAGACAAAGTTCTTATAAATGAATCAAGCAAAACAGTCTGTGTGCTTACAACTGTACTGTGAGTCTGGGGATTCTCCGAAGAGTTATCACATAAAATAAGGCCTATGTAAAAATTTTTATTTTTATTTTTAAAGATGAAAGGCTGCTTGTCCACTTTTCTTCCACTTAATTGGAAAGCAGGATACCTGACCCAATTTTTGGACAACAGGGAATATAGCAAGGAATGAGAAAGGAGTTTCATGCACTGAAAATCTTTCTTGATTTGAGAATGGACATAGTCAAGTTCACGAACATCCACAGAGAAAGATCACCCTCTCATCCTAACAGGACCTGCCATAGAATAATATACGGAATAACACAGAATGCTATTTGTAGAATTAGTTTTATTAAACCACGTGCCCTGAAATATTATGATCTTCACTAAAATCCAGATATGTTATTAGCCCTGTGTCCGAGAATAAGTATTATCTAAATCTGTGTTTCTCAATTGGGAGCATTCAAAATTGAGTGAAGCACTTTTAGTTGTCACAGTGCCTACAGATGTCGCTGGCCTTTAACAAGGACTGGCGATCTTTTTGGCTGTTGGGGGTTTGGGGTGTTGTCCAGTGGGTAGAGGCCAGGATGCTCCTAAACATCCTACAATGTACGGGACAGCCCCCTGTCTAAACCACTATAGATTAAAATAGTATTCTAAAACTGGCTTACAGTTCTCAGATTCCCTGAAATATTTATAATAGGACTGCAGACATAGGCATGCACCCATGTGCACACACACACGCACGCGCACAGAAAAGTAACATATAAACATTAACAGCCAGTGTTTAAATCATACGTCAGAGCAACTATATCATTTAAATAAAGGAATGTATTTGTTGAACACATTTGTTGAAGTTACAATAAACTATTTCATATTATGGCTTAAATTTTGAATCTAAGTTTGACTAATCTGAACGAGTTATCAAAGTCCACACACCTGTCAACGCCTGTGGCATCCCCACCCAAGGAACTATGCCAGTGAACCGGAAGGAATTCCACTCTGCTTACTTTCCGGTCGTCTAAAGATTTCTTGAAATGTGTCTGCAGCAATTTCAGGGAAACCACCCTAAAATCATCCACTTCAAAAAAAAACAATCAGGGAAGACAAATTAAACTGATTAAATTTCCTGGTTTGATGGGTAGTTAGTAATTCCCTCAAATACGCTAGTACTTTTTATATAACAAACTTTCTAAGAAAAAAAATAAGAATGACAAAATCAGTCCAAAAAGGAAAAAACCCAACCTTTAGGAAGCTCTTTTTTTTCAATGTTTTAGAGGAATGTATAAATGACTGAAAAACATTTAACTACTATTCCTGGAAGGCAGCTATGGGTACAGACTCTGGACTCAAACTGTCTGCCACAGGATCCCTGCTCGAGAACCCACAGACCATGATACAGGAGAGGTTAACTTATGCCTATGGACTTCGGTACCTCACCTAGTAGTGGGGAGAACAGCGACAGCACCTATACCCCCAAGGTTCCTCGCCAAGAGGTGAGTAATATGCCAAGCAAAATGCCTAGCACAAATCAGGTATTCAATAAATATGAACTATTATTATACAGATATAAAAATAAATTAAAAATAAAACTTCAAAAATTTAAGTAAACCAGGCACATTCATTGTTCCATTAAACAACTTCTTTCAACTAATTCACTTTAAATCAGTTCAATGCACAGGTATACCTAGTTGCCGCAAGTGCCTAGGCAGACGCTGTCTGTCAGAAAAGCTAAATTATTTCCAAGATCCCTTCTAATCCTTCAGTCTAGGATTTTATGAGTTACATACATTGTAAGAGCAAATCAAGTATAAATTATTTCCCAGTGACCATTAAATCTCCTCTTACAGTTCCTCAGCCAGTAGTAAACATCTGGAAACTATCTTAAAAATGAACATTTAGAAGTTCTTCTATTACTTCTCAATTCATTCCATGAAATAAAATGACTAATACTTACCACATTCAATAATGCTTCTAAAGCGCAAGTCACACACTGGTCCAATACCATGTACCATGAACACCAAATGATCAACCCGAGGCATTTCCCCTACAAAAGAAATACATACATGCCTACATGCACACATACAAGCTGGAAAATTGTTTGGGTTTTCATATTTAAATAGCAATATTCTAAATATCCCTTTTGTCATCACAAACTAGGTAAAGAAATTTAAGACCCTTCCAAGCTAATAAGCTTCACTATTCTCTATGAAATGAGAAGAACAAAGCTCAAGGTCCATCTTGCCAAATAACAGTGAACTAGACCAAGAGGTGGAGGAAGCACAACACCTCTGGGATCCCAGAGGCTATGAGCATATGATAACCAGCAGTTTTGTACCTACTGAGGCTCCATAACCTTTGTGATTTCTTCAGAATTCCCCAGGAGACTAAGCCCCACATGGAGAAGCAATATGCCAACATAAAACATTAAAATATTTCCCCCAATAGGGCGCCTGGTGGGCTCAGTTGGAAGAGCATGCAACTCTTGATCTTGGGGTTGTGAGTTCAAGCTCCACATTGGATGTAGAGATTACTTAAATAAATAATAACTGAATAAAATATTTTCCCCAAATCCTTCCCTTTCCCTATATAATATATATTCTACATACAGGAACATCTTCAAGTTATATATAGGAAAACCAAGTTAAATCTATTATTTTACTCTGGCATACAGAAACAACTACAAGTTAAATCTGCTATTTTATCTGGTTATTTTGTTCACATTTATAATATGAGAACATTAATTTATATTTGTAGTTTCATAAGACAATGAAACAAAAATGAAGTATGTAATCGTCAAAACAAAATCTGTATTTTCAATGGTATAACAGGAGAACCAAAGCACATACACTGGAGCAGGGGTTGGCCAAATAGGCCAAATCCTGCTCACTGCCTGGCTTTTATAAAGCTTTACTGGAACACAGCTTTACTGGAACACAAACACATTTGTTTACATACCATCTACAGGTGCTTTCATGCTACAATGGCAGAGTTGAATAGATGCAGCAAAGTCCATATAGCCTGGAATATTTACTATTTGGCCCTTAACAGAAAAAGTTTGCCAACTTCCGCACTAGAGTAATACAAACTAGATGAGACATGACCACAAAAGCCCAAAAATATTGCCAAGCCTACTTTCAACCAGTAAAGTGCTTCTTCACAACAATACGTCTTTCAGAATCTATGTCACATGGTTTGTATATCTTCAATAGAATTCTAAATTTTAAAATAAACAGATACAAAATAATAGAATAAAAAGAAAGATATGTGCCAACCTAGCTCATTTCTGCATGTTATGGCAGGTAGTCCTAATAATGGCTTCTTTTTTCATCATTCTAAAAAATGATGCTAAAATAGAGGAGTCTAAAAATGACCTTGGCCCTAAACAAACTATACACACCGTCAGGTATCTCATCAAGGTTATCATCAATTCCACGCTTTACAACCCTGGGCCTTGTCTGTCCATCTTGTGTGGTTCCCCATTCATCTGGCACTGACGAAGGCTGGAACTGAACAATAACCTTCAAGACACGACAGAAGGATTATGACAGACTTCATGACCAAGTTCATTTCCACTACAGGCTAAATAATTTATTTCAATACATAATAAACTACTTCACGGTATCAATAGTTCACAAATCAAGTACTAGTATTGTTCTCCCAAAACAATTTTGTAACAGTCCTGCTAGTGTTCACATTAACCATTAAAATTAGGCAAATCAATACCATTATTTCCAATGTTTATACTGGAAAATACTACAACTAAATCAAAAGTAGTACACCTTGATTTTAAAAATGTAACATAAAAATCCAGATTTACGTATAAGAAATTAAGAAAAATTACCTAGAACGGAGGAATCTTCATCTTAGAAAAATATTTTAGGCATAATTCTTTAAATAGCAAGATTCCCAATTAATTTACAAATTCAATTTCAATTCCAAAAACTGATTTGCCCACCATTTTTTAGGAAAACATATATTCTGTTAAATCAACTAAATTTAGTCTTACGTTACCCAGAAATTTTTCTTTAAAAAAAAAAAAAGGAGGCATGCAAGATGGTATGCAAAATTTCTGTGTTTGCATCAAAAACAAATGAAAAACAAAAGTTAAGAATAGTTACCATCAGGAGAAATGGAAAATGCAGAGGTAAGAGGCTTTTATTTTTGATTTGACACCTTTTTATACTGTTCAAATTTTGTTGGCATATAAATGTTTTTATTTTATTTCAATATCAATAAGGACTACAGAAGTGATGAGAGTAAAATTCTTTTTGTTTTCTTGTACACTTCTCTTAAAATAAATACCCTATGTTCTGAAAAATTACCATATGCCAAGCACTATTCTGGATGTTTTTGTATAAATTACTTCATTTTATCTAAAATATGGCCCTGGGAGGTACTTATTACAGGTGAGGAACCTGGAACTCAGAGGGATTAAGTATGGTAAATGAAAGAACACCTCTAATATCTTAAAAAAAACAAGTTCATGGAGACAATACAAATAAGAAAAGGAAAGACATATTTTTAAAAGTTGAAACAAACCCCCATCAAGGGCAGGGTGGACAAACTACGGCCTGTGAGCCAAATCGGAGCTACCACCTTTATAAATAAAGTTTTACCACAATAGACACACCCACTGGCTCATATATCATCTGCAGCTGCTTTCAGGCTACACAGACAGAGCTGAGAGCTGCAACAGAGATCACACGGCCTACGCAGAATTAAGTATTTACTCTCAAGCCCCTGACAGAAAAAGCCTGCCGACCTCTGATCGAGTGCAAACGTTTATCAAACAACTTCAATGGTGCATACGAGGCTTCAGCTAACATGCTGCCCTAAGCAGAAACTTCATGAGAAAAATTACATTTTATTTTTGTTTCTATGATCAATGTGAACAAACTACAGTAAGCTTTTAAAAACAGTGCACCTCTTATAAATACATCCCTACAGAAGTTCATTAAAATGAACATTTATCAACCACACTCAGCAAAATAATTATTAAAATGAACCTAACATTTTAGTATCTTAAACAATAACATTACCTTTGGATTGTGCATAACGATTGTCTCTCCACTCGGGAACTCTAACCTACGGTGCCACTGATTCGTGGTTACTGCTTTTTTATATTCAGCCTAAAATAATGGAAACATACAATCCAGTAAGATAAATTTATACCACATTGAGAAAAAGTGTGGAACAAAAGTATAACTATGATGATAATAAAAATAATGTAATAGAGGCTCTCATTTACTAATTACCACACTTGTCAGTCACTTTATATACATTACCTCATTTAATTAGTTACTCTCAATCACTCCTAAATAAGATTATCCCCATTATATAGAGGAGAAAACAAAGGTTTACACAGCCTATTAGTTTCCTAGGGCTGTGGTAACAAAGTACCACGAACTGAATGGCTTTACAAACAAATGTATTGTCTCACAGTTCTGGAGACTAGAAGTCTGAAGTCAAATGTCAGCAGGCCATGTCCCTCAGAAACCTACAGGGAACTCCTTCCTTGCCTCTTCCTACCTTCTGGTGGTTTACCAGCAATCTTTAGTGTCCTTTGGCTTACAGATGCAATGCTCCCATTCTCTATTTTTACGTGGTCTGACATCAAGTCATACTGGATTAAGGGCCCACCCTTCTCCAGAATGATCTCATCTTAATCTTATCTGCAAGCATCCTATTTCCAGGTGAGATCACATTCGGAGGCACCAGAGGTTCAACATATTTTTTGGAGGCTAGAAAGGACACAATTCAACCCTCAGTAGACATTTTAAGTTCACAGCTACATGAGATTACACTGTCACGCTGCAACGGAAGAACTGCAGTTCACTCCCACCCTCAACTTTCTGACGCCAAAGACATGACTGCTGAGGGGCGCCTGGGTGGCTCGGTCAGTTAAGCATCTGCCTTTGGCTAGGGTCATGGTCCCAGGGTCCTGGGAT